CAGGTTGGCATTGGTCTTCTCAGAAGGTTTCATGCAGAAAACAGTGCGGTACATCAGCACAAGAGCGAAAGAAAGATAGTGTGAGCCATGGTATGTCAGTTTTTCTATGCAGTCACTCAGTCTTCCATGAGTGGAGAATAGAGACATTTTGCATTTTGTATAATTAAGAACAGGGAAGATCATTCCCTTGAAACTACTATCATTCCTGACAAACTAAATTAGAGTATGAGCTTCATCCAACCATAAATGATTGTAGGGATTTTGGCAGAAAGGTCATCAGTGAAGACTGCCTAAAGATCTTAAAACTGAAAACAAAGTTGGAGGTAAAGCTGTGTACATGATTTGTAAATGACATGCACTGTGACAATACAGAAATTGCATGCCCATGAGGAGAAAACACAGAAGACAACAAGGGAAAGTTTGTGTGGCCTATCATAGGTCTATATCTAACAAAAAGATTACCATTTCAAACTGATAACTCTACTTGTAGAAAGTAAGATATATATATTTTTAAGATTTATTTATTTATTTATGCAATCACTGGTACAGTCAGAAGCGTGGGAGGATGAGAGGATTCACCAGAAACAGAGTGGGAAAACAGAACAGGCAGACTGACGAAATACACTGCTGAGGAGAAGCGGGTCAGCAGAAAGGTTCCGCGCTATGTGGGACCCTCCCTGGTGCCGGAATCGAACCGGCTCTGCAGGCTGCGGCAGCCTCTAGCGCAGTGCTCAACTGCTGCGCCACCAGGGGAGGCCCAAGTTAGTATATTTAAAAGTACAAAGATAAGCATTGAGAAACATGATACTATTAAAAGAGGGAAATAATAGGGGAGACAAATTTTTAAATTTTTTATTAAGTCTCCTTTAAGCCAATCTAACAAAGAGAAACTGAGAGCAGTGTGGTATTATATTAGACCATATTTGTCCATTTTCTTCTCCCAATATATCTCTCTTCCTGTTTTCTACCTCGATATTCGTTCACCCCTAGCACCGAAACACAGATCCTTGAGTGGGGAATTCATCCTGGTGTCACATCACAACGGCTCTAAAGAACAGGGAATATCAAGCAGATTAAAGGAAGGGAACAATTAATACTGACTATTCATGGGGCCTCCCTGGTGGTCCACTGAATGATGAAGCAATCCACAACCTCTGCAGGCCAGGGAGCATTCCACATGGCGCAGCAGACCTCTCCTGTCTCGCCCCGCTGCTCCCCTCAGCCGTGTATTTTAGTAGATCTGCCTGTTCTGCTCCCCACTCTGTCTCTGGTGAATCCTCTCACCCCCTGCATCGCTGACCTGTACCCCAGTTCTTGTATGCATTGTGCAGAAAAATGCACCAATCATAAGCTTGATGAAAGTGAAAACACCCAGGCTGTAAAATTCATTCATATCCCCTTCATTCCTCATTCCCTTTTCTCTATAGTAATAGTATCCTGACTGTTAATATCATAGATTGGTTTTGTCTGGTTTTGATGCTAAGTGGAACCATTCACTCAGTATATAGTCTATTCTGTTAGGTCCAGCTTCTTTCACTAAATATGTTATGAATTCAATGAATTATGTTTTGTAAGCTAGTTCCATATTGTTGCATGTAGCATAGTTTGTTCACTTACACTGGTATATCATTTGCTCCTGAATAAATATGGTAACAATTGTTCTTTTTGTATGGACTTTGCAGTTATTTCCTCTTGGGTGTTATGAAAAATGTTCCCTTTGATTGTCCTACATGTTTATGGGTGCACATAAGTACATATTTATGTTGTGTACCTAGGAGTTGCAGGCTATGCATAGATTCCACTTTAGTGGCTGCCAAACACTTTAAGGGAATACTGCCAAATACATTTCCCCAAGTGGTGGTAACAATCTACCTTCCAGACTTCTGTGCATCAGTTCCATCTAGTTACTCCACACTATCAACCACACTTGGTTTTGTCAGTTTTTTTTTTTTAATATTAGCCATTCTTGTGGATCTGTAGGGTATCTCAATAATTTTTACATTTTTCCTGATAATTAGGTTGATTATATTTTCATATACTTTTTGACCTATTTTATTAAGTGCCTGATTTGCTCCAACTTTATTCTTCTTCAGGATAGGCATTACTATTCTTGAATATGCATTTTCATATACATTTTAGAAATAATTTTTTGTCTCTGTCACCCCCAAAACTCAAAGCTTAATTGTTATTTCATGGGCTCGATGTGTCAGTTTGGGGAGAATTTAAATGTCTAGTGTTGAGTCATTCAGTCCATGAACATGGGAATAATTCTCACTAATGTTGGTTTTCTTCTATTTCTCTCAGTCATTTTATAGTTTTCTAATGAAAAGTCCTTTAGCATTTTTCATTTGATTTATTCCTAGGCATTTGATTGTATTATACTATTATAAATGGCATAATCTTTTAAATTTTAATTTCCTAATTGTTACAGGTATACAGAAATACAATTGATTTTTGTAAATGGTATCTAAAGTCACTTATTACTTCCAAAAATTTATCTGTAGTTTTTTTCAGACTGTAAAATCCTGTTGTGTGACTTATTTGAAGCTTTTATTTATTGATTTTCAATCTTTATGCTTTGCAGTTCCTGTTCTTGTCTTACTACACTAGTTAGAACCTCCAGTACAAAGTCAAATAGAATTGAAAATAACAAGTATTGTTGGCTCATTCTTAATCTCAGGGGGTCATTAAATATGACATTGGCAGTAGACCTTATGCAGGTAATCTTGATCAGACTAAGGAAGTCTCCTATTTTTCATTTACTGAAAAATTTTATCATGAATTGTTGAATTTTTATCAAGTGTTTTCCTTGTACTATGAAATAATCATTATTTTTTTCTTCTTTACTCCACTAATGAGAAATGAAAATATGATATATACTTTATTTTTTTATTTTTTAAATAGAGGCATGTTTTATTTATTTATTTATTTGTTTGTTTTGTTTATACATGCACTGGGTACAGTCAGAAGCGCAGGAGGGTGAGAGAATTCACCAGAGCCAGAGCAGGGAGCAGAGCAGGCAGAAGGACCGAAGTACACTGCTGAGGGGAGCAGCGGGCGGCAGGAGAGGTCTGCGCGCCATGTGGGACCCTCCTCCGGTGGCCGGGGAGCAGCCGGGGAGCAGCCGGGGACCGAACCAGCGCCGCAGAGGCCGCAGGCAGCTTCGCAACCCAGGGCTCTACCGCTGCACCACCGGGGAGGCCCCATGATATATACTTTAATATAAAATAGAAATGTGATAAAAATTAGACATATCAGAATGAAAAATGCCCAGGGAATTTTGCTGGGTTACTGGAAATGGTTCTCTCTTCTCTGCCATAATTATGAGTTATAACACCTATGTAAGAATGAAGCTTCTAATCACTATTTTTCCCACCAAATAGAGAGAGCCTGCCAGAAAATATGGCCAATGCAGAGGAAATCAAAACCAGTATATGGGGAAGGGGCATGAGAGCAATAAGGACACCCACAGGAAAATAATATTGGTGACATTTGAACCCTGGCTCCAGCAATGTCAGACCTTCCCCTGAGAGCCAAGATGTAAACTAATGAATTCTGGGGGGTTTAAATTACTTTGAGTTGATCTGATATACATTATGTCCGTCTTGCTTTGAAGACTTTTTCCATTCAGATTGCAAAATCATATCACCCATTGAACATAAATTGTATTTCCATCACAGATATGTTACTAGGCATGGGGTTGGGATAGCTGACACATGCAGTTCTGGGCAGCCTTGTTCAAACAGTGTGGGAAAGAGGGTATAAAAACCAGCACATCCAGGTACAACATCAACAACCTTTATATTCACACACCTGTTAGGTTCTACCTTACCACTCAATTCATTTTCCAAAATACAGAACTTCAGCCCATCATCCTGGCCTTTGGAATGAGTACAGAAAAAATTATCCAACCTTACTTCAAAATCACAGATGAAAATTATTCTAGTGATTTCTGGAATAGGATAGATATAGGGAGACAGGGAATAAGAGGGTCAATGACACATGCAAACTTTCCTAGGGCAAAGGGATTTGCAGCTCAGGGAGCAATCAAGTCTTTCACGTGAGACATCATGATCACTGCTATGATCCTTAACTGAACTGACACCCCCGGAGCCTGCAGCTCAGGACTCTGCACAGCACAGGATCAGCCCCAGCATCCTGTGGGCCCCTAAGACACAGGTTTAATGAAGCCATAATCCATGCACTTGATGAGACATTCCCGGGCTGTCTGAACCACTGCTGCTCTCTTCTCATCCGGCTCCTGTTTGCCCACCACAGTCAGGATCTCCAGCAGCTCACTCTCCACCAGCTTCTTGGCCAGCTCAGCATCAGCCACCAGCAGGTTGTAGGCAATGACTAGGCCTCGGTGTTGGACTGACAGCTGGTCATGCAAGCAAAGCCTCTGTAGGATCTCTAGCCACTGAGTTGTCTGGAGGTTGGGGTGGGAGAGAAGGAAGGATGAGAGGAATCAGTGGAGAGACAGAGAGAAGAGTTTTTGGACAAGATGAGCAGAAGGCCCAGATTCTGTTCTCTAAAGAGTCAAATACAGACCTGGTTATTTGCATATGGAACTTGACACGTGCCTCCAAGACCCTTGGGACTAGCCTATCTCCTTACCTGGACCAAGGCAGGAATCAGAGAACTAGAGGGAATTTGCAATAATCCAATCCATTTAATTGGGATTAAAGTGGACAGACTGAGGTCAAGAGGGGAAGTGAATTAGCCATGGTCATACATCTGGAAATAGTAAAAGCCAAATATCCACCACTCCATTTATGTTTTAAGTGTCTTGAGGAGCAAAGGTACAGGCCCACCGCATGCCTGAGTGTAATGGTTATCAAGAGTATTCAGAAAGGAGGATTCTAATTCTGGGCACAATGGCAATGCCTGCTCCTGCCCACCCAAGTATCCTCTGAGACATGAGTTCCAGCCCTGACTTCAACTGGAATCAAAACTGGTGTCAGGAGTATGTCTTCTCCATCCATCCTCCATCTCTCCCCACCACTGCCAGATGTGAAGCAGTCCAACTACTATGCATGGGAGTACAGGACTCTAGACCACTGCAATCATTCCAGAGACAGATGGAGCCGAGACTAGTACCAAGAGACTAGGCTCTTACATCATCCAACAGACACATATGGGCAGCTGAGCAGAATGGTTATCAACGTGGGCTTTGGAGTCAGAGAGAGCAGGCAGTGTTCAGGTCTCTATGTGCTCACCCATGACCTTAGCTGAGTTACAATATTTAATCTCTCCAAGCCTCAGGTGTCTCATCTGTCCTGCTCTGCCTACCTCTTAACATTGTGGTAGTTTAAGGAGATGATTCATGGAAAGAGCTTCACATGGAGGCTTGAGCTAGTAAGAGTTCAACAAATGAATAGGGATGATGATGATTTCAGACACTTATGTCCCCTTTGCTTCCTCATACCTGTACCCTCACCCTCCATTTGTCACCAGGGAGCCCCTTTTTACATGCACTGTTCTCAAATTGGAGAGATAGACACAGAGGAGGAGAAAAGGAGAATTATTGGCTTCTGAGCTTCTAAGTGGACTTCTGTAAACTGCACTGAGTGTCCTACCACAAGGAAAGAAAATGAAAGTTCTGCTAGTTGGGCCTCCCTGGTGGCGCAAGGGGTTAAGCACCGCACTATGAAGCAATCCACAGCCTCTGCAGCACGAGTTAGATCCCTGGGCGGCCAGGGATCAACCCACATGGCGCAGCAGACCTCTCCTGTCTCACCCACTGCTCCCCTTAGCAGTGTATTTCAGTCAGTCTGCCTGTTCTGCTCCCCACTCTGTCTCTGGTGAATCCTCTCACCACCCCCCCAACACCTCTGGCCTGTACCCCAGCTCTTGTATGCATAAATAAGGAAATCTTAAAAAAAATAAAAAAGAAAGTTCCACTATCTGTGGTAGCATTCAGGGCAAGATTGAATGCTGGTGGGTAACTTACGATAATGGGTCCAGTGCCCATCATTTCCTGGGAAGACCGGGGACTAAGGGAAGAGGTGATAGATCCTATTGAATTAGGATCCCAGGGCTGGAGGGACAGGTGCCTGGCTTCCCAGGGTGTATTTCTATGTGAGACTATAGAGAGGTCCAGTATCCAACATGTTAGGTTGAGCAGCTTCACAGAGTCCCCCGGATGCCAGTGCGAAGATGCGAATGCAGTGGAGACTTCTGAGCCCCTAGAGGGTTAGCTTTCCTGAAGGTTCTAAACCCTTCCCAACTAATGGCTGTGTGGCCTTGAGCTAGTTATTTTTCTGCTTTCAATTTCCTCATCTGTAAAGTAGGGATAACAATAATCACACCACCAGACAGGGTTAGGAGGATGAAATGACTTAATAGATGTGAACCTGCAGAACAATGCAGGGACACAGTAAGTCCCACCCCCAGTCTACTCAATCAGAATGTCTGGGGGTAAGTTTCAATGAGCCATGCAGGTGATTCCTGCACAACTTTCAGTTCTGAGAAGCTTAAGGGAAAGACTGAAGCCCAACAACTACGTAGAGTGAGCTATACCCAGTAGAGACCCCCACCCCATGCCCACCCCATCTCCATTCCAGGACAACATAAGCCCTGTGCAACTTAGAAAACACACACATGCAAACACACTCCTTAAACCAACTGTCTAAAAGAGCCTGCCTTTGAAGCAGATTTGAGCACATTTGAAATTGAGATGTGTACATTTTTTACCTTCTGTGAAGATGATACCATGGACTAATTTTGGTTTGATGAAATGAGGAAAGTGTCATGTTGCAGCCCCATGTCCATGATTGTGTAAATATCACTGCCATTACATCTACTGCAGTGGCCACAGTCCCACCAAAGGAGCTGGCCATCATGCCCAATTAAGAAAATCTATGGTCTCATGGCCAAACCACAAGCTCTTGTTGGCACCAACCATGTCCATGCTGCTTTGGCGGATCTCAGGGACTTCACAGCAGCAGTCAGTGTTATTATTTTTCTTAAGTGATCAGTAATAAGCAAAGGCAATGGAGGAAACGATAGTTGCCAGGGACTTGAGCTGGCACACCTGGGGAGTCCAAAGAATTGATGTAAGAGGCTGAAGGGTATAGATTCTCTTGTCTTTAAGCGGTAGCAACAGATACCCAGGGGCTTGCAGGGGATACCATGAGACTGGCCTCTGCCCAGAGGGCCAGCCAATGTGGCCTGGGGATTCTCTGAGCCCACCCAGCCCCATGGTCCCCCAGGACCCACTCTTACCACTTGGGTCATCTTGATGCACAGTTTCTTGTGTGCTTCTGTCAGGATAGCCAGGGCCCCGGCCGCTGCATTCTGCACCTTGTCATCATCCTCCCCACAGAGCAGCACCACCAACTTCAGTCGGTCATTCCCATCAGCCAGAAACCTCTCCTGTACCTGTGGGAGGCAGCACAAGCCTCAGCCCAGAGAGGAAACTGTGTGTCTGAAGCCGTGTTCTCTGATCCAGGATCCCGCGGAATATTCCCTTGAGCAGTTCACCCATGCCACCTCTCCCAGGAAGTATTCCCTGATTGGATGGATGAATGGATAAAGGGGCTACAAGCTCCTCCTACTAAAAACATTAAAGAGATTAGGGGGTTCCCCATACAACAGGCTCCACCTCTGTTTGCATTCAGTTCTCCACAGCAGGGAAAAGAGGCAAAGAGGCAGGCACAGACTCCTGGATGGTAAAAGATGCCTGAAAAGAATGCTTTACTTCCTTTTGGGGAGTCCTGGAATGTTTCTCCTATAACAGATGGAATTTCAGCATCTGCCACAGAATGACTTTGCAGCCCCTGCAAGCACAAGGAATGGGGCAGGAGCAAAGACATCTGGGTAGTGTGTTGGTATTAAAAAACTGCTGTAGTCTCCACCAGGTGAGGGATGAGGCCTCCCCAGGATGCGGAAGCCAGGAGAGTTGTCCAGGGCCCAGGGTACTGACATATCTCAGCACACTGATCCCTGTGTTCTACAGTAAAATCTGGTCTCTAAGTTTAAGGGTGATTTATTGGGTCAAGTTTCCTAGATGCAAAGTTCCAAGAGGGGTCAAAGGTTGCAAATGCCCATGGTATGACCCTCCATCTCATCTCCCTAAAGCTGGAGCAGAGGTCCTGAGAGGTGGTCAGTGCAGTCCCCTTCTCCTGGGGGCACAGTGGTAACTGGGAAGCAGCTGCCTAGAAGGACTACATCCCCCCACTTCTTGCACCTTGAACTAGTTCTCATCAATGGAAGGTGAGGGTGAGTGACTGTCACTTCCAGGCCACCGTGGGGTACCATGGGTGCGTTCCCATAGCCTCTCTTCTGGTCACCATCTCACCAAAGGAGACCACTCTCAGGGTGGATCAACCAAAGAAGCCTGGATCCCCAAATCACCACTTGGAAGAGAGCCATGTGGTCCAAATGTAGGCGAGAAGTGAACTTCTATCCTGCTGGGGCTGCTCTATATTTTGATTCTGGTTATTGCAGCAGCTGGTACTCCTGAGGGGGATGGGGAGAAGGCTGCACCCCCTCCCATTGTCTCTGTCCTCCCCTTTCCTTAGACATACTCTCTCTGTCTCCCACATGGCTGGTAGACCCCCAGCCCAGGCTCAGGCTAGTCTCCTGGAGAGCCTGGGTAGCATTGTTTCTTTTGATTTAACAGGCTTTCATGGGTTGGGTTTTCCCCCTATAACAGAGAAGATCCAGGACTCTAGTCAAGTGCTGAGAGGGAACAGAGTGGTCTCACAATTGGCCTGTCATGTCATGAAGGGCATCAATTTATACCCTCTGGTCATCCCTGATGAGGCTATGCCTACAGCCATAGCAGGATACTAGAGGGACAGAAAGGAGACTTTCAGCATCATATGACTAATTTATCCCTTTACTGGATCATGAGTTCACTGAGATGTTCTGAATTCATTTTATGTTTATAAACATAAAATGGGCTTCCCCGGTGGCACAGCGGTTGAGCGCTGGGTTGTGAAGCTGCCCACAGTCTCTGTAGCGCTGGTTCGATCCCCAGCCGCCGGGCGAGGGTCCCCCGCTTCTGACTGTACCCAGTGCTTGTATAAATAAATAAATAAATCTTTTAAAATAAATAAATAAATAAATCCCGGGATTATTCTGTGAAGTTAGAAGGCATTGCAGTTTCTATGGAAACCGGGATAGTTCATTAAATGTTAACACTGAGTGTTCTAAAATTGTGTATAACTATTTTTGAATTTCTTCAGTTCTTTATGTGGAACTCCAACAAATGCAAGTGGTCTACTGGCCTCTCTTTACTTCTGTGGGTCCCTGGTCTCATATCCTGCATTACTATGAGATGATATAGAACTAAATGATTTAGAGAAGCATTTAGTGGTATCTTCTACCTCATCCAGCCCAGGCTTTGGGGTCAAAGCCCCAATCAGGCATAAATAATGTTATTTTGTGTGTTTCCCTGTCACCTCTAAGGGCCCCTACAAGGAGGGGGCTATCGTCCAGGAAAGAGTGGATTCCTGGCTTCTCTGACGAATGCTACCTTACTATCATTGTAACAGCCCAAAGTCTCACCCCAGGCCTGACCAGTCCCCACCTGAGCCCCTCACCTCCTTGTTCACCACCATGTTGCACATGCACTCAGTGGCCGCCTGTCGTAGCTGGTCATGGTTCTCAAACATGTAGTTCTCAATGTCTGGCAAGGCCTTCTCCTTAAAGATCTTCCGCCTGGAGTGGGAAAGATGGAGGAAGAGAGGCCACTGAGTCCCCCACAGTGCATATTTGGGGTTTGGGGGTCACCCCAGGGGCCATTTTCCATCCTGGTGGCATCCCTTCCGCAACCCCACTCAGCAAGGCATGGATGGCATAGGTCCAGCCCCCAACTCCAGCGGGAGTGCCAATGGGCATGAACTAAATGACAGAGCATAGAGAGAATCCTGGCCATAGTGATGGGTTCCAGAAAGAATATCTGACAACTGGAGATTCTTAGGTTTAATTGTTAGGGAATTAAGTTCTCTCTGTGTCTCCTGATGACTGTGAGGCCAAGAAGGTGCGAGGTCTGGAGCTTCCCTGTGACCATGAGAGGGGAAGGCATCCGCAGAGTAGGATGACACAGACAGGAGAGGAGGGAAGAACAAGGCCCTGGGACAGCTCTTGCCCTGGCCTAAAGCCACACTTGAATCTGGATGCCCAGGACTTTTCATTTACATAGGCCAACAAGTTCCCTTTACACTCCCACCAGCTGTGGTTAACTTCTCTGCACTTACAAACAAAAGACTCTCAATCCAATACACTCCACCCCACTGCTTCCAAGAAGGAGTACACTTCAGCTCTTTTACTATTTCAGAAAGAAGTGTCCTTACAATCTCCAGTGGCTTTATATACTTGCTATGTGGTTTTTCCCAAAAATCCCTCCTACTGTCATTCTTTGAATGCCTTTTTAAAAAAGATTCATTTATTTATGCATACAAGAGCTGGGATACAGGCCAGAGGGGTGGGGCGTGGGTGAGAGGATTCACCAGAGACAGTGGAGAACAGAACAGGTAGACTGACTGAAATACACTGCTGAGGGGAGAGGCAAGTCAGGAGAGGTCAGCTGCGCCATGTGGGTAGCTCCCTGGCCAGGGATCGAACTCACACTGCAGCAGCTGCAGATAGCTTCATAGGTTGCATCTTAACCCCTTGTGCCACCAGGGAGGCCCTTCTTTGAATGCCTTTGGGCCTGTCCTCAGAGAAGACCACTTTTCACACATGATGTGTATGAAATTTCATCCAACACTTTATGGGACACCTCTCCTACCCCTGTGCCCTCCACGTCTCACTCACCGGAGTTTGTCACTCCGTGCAGACAAGTTGGTGAGGCCTAGGAGAGCCTCGTAGTTTTGCAGCCCATCCCTCTGTGTGTCCAGGAGTTTCACGAGGGGCCGCACCACCTCATACACCTGTGGGAGGGACAAGACGTGGGTCCAGTGGGGTCCACACTTCCCAGTTCCTAACATTTAAGGTGCCTGGCTTTACAATTTCCAAAACACTGGCCCACCCACTCTTTAAACCAGTCTTCACAATGCTCCTGAGGGGCAGGATTGCTTCCTCTAGTTTGGGGTGAAAATGACTGAGATTCTGAGCAAACACTGTCAGTCAGGCCAGGTCTGGGATCCAGGTGCTTCCAATCCATGGCCTCTCTGGGACAGACAGCACCATGCTGCCTCCAGGCTGGGGGCACGGCAATGAGGGAAATGCCCTCAGGAGCAGAGGAGATGCCTCCCATTGCTCCATCCCACCCAGCAGACACCCACCCGTTCCCCAGGGAAGGCGATGTCAGGATTGGAGACAGCGGCGATCTTCGCGAGGGCATGGGCTGCCTTCACCTTGCCCACGTCTGTGCCCTCCAAAGCCAGGGGAATCAGGGCCTGCAAGAAAGGGCAAGGTCATGCCTCAGTCACAGACCATCCACCGGCTTCTCTCCCCATGTTCCCTTTCCAGGTGTTTGTCTGTCTGTCCATCAGAGGTTCAGGAAGACTATGTGAGCATCACATAGCTATATCAGCTCTTGAGCATCATAGAAAACAATTTCATTCTTAATCATGGATTTGGTCCCCCTGGTTCCCAGCGCACATGGAGGTCTACCTCCCCATCCCCTCCCCATCCACACATTTGCTCTGCTTTGGGAAAAATAGATTGATACCCTAATTTTTTTAGTTTCTGCCCAAGTTAACCCTAATCAAAATAGCAGTCATTTAATGACATTTAAAGAGTGCCTTTAATCAGCGGTTGAGCGCTGCAAGCTGACTAGCCTCTGCATTCATGCTGCTAAACCAATTCATCAGTGTATGTCTGCCTGCTCTGTCTCTCTGGTGAATCTGCGCTTCTGACTGCAAAAAACCAATTTAAATAGACATGCCTCTAAACAGTGCCTTGTATGAGCCAATGCTTTCATCCGTGTGACATTCTGCAAAGTCAGTTGTGATTCTGCCTCTGGCCAAGCCCCATTTTACAGAAGAGGAAACTATAGCTCAGAGAGGTCAAGTAATTTGCCCATGGTTACACAGCTAAAGAGGGGGAAGAGCAAGTACTCAACGGCTAGTCTACAGCAACATTCACAGTCTGTATTTGCACCAACATCAAATGAGGCATCATTTGATGCCTGACATCATAAAATGAGGCAGAAATTGGTTTGGACCTGTGAACACAGACAGCACAGATGCTTGAATGACCATAACCCAGGTGGCTAGGACATGGCACAGGGTAGTGTTCTTGGGTTGGACAGAGGGGGTACATGCACATGTGTGCACCCTCCACAGACACATGCGTGTGCTCCTCCCCCAGGGGGCATCTTCTAGGATGGCAAGACCTTATCCCACCATTACCTTGCCACCACCTTGAGCCACAATGGTGCCTCGGTCTCTCGGGTTGTCACACAGTGCCAGGAATACCCTGCAGGGCAAGATAAAGAACTCTGAATGCGCCAGCACACCCTCCCCAGAACAAGCACAACAGTCATCAGACCCCTGATAAGTGCGACCAGTGTGTGCGCCCCAGAATTAGCCACCTTGGGAGGATACTGCCATAGCATGGCAGCTGGGGATGAAGAGGCCAAGTGAGTTTTATTTAGGGAGACAACAAATGGCTCCTCACTGCCTACCATCTAAGAGAAACTCTTAAACATGAGGCACCCCAGGACCTCCATGATCTGCCCATTGCCTCTTCTCTGGTCTCATCTAGCATCACTTTTCTGTGCATTCTACACTCCAGAAATATTATGGGACAAGCCCCCATTTGCTATTCTCCCTCCATCCTCAGTGTCTTTGCAAATGCTGTTCCCTCTGCCAGGAGCCCTTCCCTCCCCTGCATTTGGGTGGCTCCTTTACTTCCTTCAGGGCTTTGGTAAGTTGTCCAGGAAGCCTTCCTGGATGCCTACTCACCCACCTTCCTGGCTGGTTAGGTCCCACTGCTTGTGCTCTCACCAACCCTCTGTATTTTCCCCATCATAGGACCCATAGGGCTGCATTGTAACTCTGAATCTGCTGCCCCCATTAGGCTGCAAAGAACCTGTACCTTTCATTTGTGGAACAGCAGGTCCTGTACAGGACCTGGGAACCAGTGAACCAATACAGACAATGACCTCTTCCCCCCCCCATACAAACTTCCACCTGAGATGACCTGCCCACTACATCACTTTTCAATATTGATCCCCATCAGCCTCCTCTCCAGGCTGGCTCCCCAACAGCTCATTCCCTCATTTACTCCACCACCCTTTCTATCCCTCACCCCAGCCCTGCCCACTGCCACTGCACCTGGCCAGCAGCTCTTTGGTCTGGTTGGTGAGGATGGCACTGTCCGCCTTCACCATGCAGGCCAGCACAGAGATGACGCCGGTCTTCAGGAGTCGCTTCACCCGCATGTCTATAAAGTCCTTCTTGTCCTGGGAGATGAAAGGTGGCAATGGCGAAGGGAGCGGACACCCATCTGCACTGGAACTCAAGATGGTGCATTTCTGAATTCTTGTGGTGGACTGAATAGTGTCCCAAATGTGTCCACATCCCAACCCCTGGATCATGTCACCTCGCATGTGCAAAAGAGACTTTGCAGTTATGATTAAGTTAAGGGTTTTCAGACAGGAGATAATCCTGGATTATCCTTGTGAGTCCTCTATAAAGCAAGAGGGTCAGACTTAGTAGTGGAAGCAACAACAACACCAAGAAGTTAGAGATATTCCAGGGCACAAGCCAAGGAACGTGGCCTTTGGAATCTGAAAAGGATGAGGAGATACTGTCCCTTCACAACCTCCAGCAGGAAGTAGCCCTGTTGATACCTTGACTTTGGCCCAGGGAGACTGATTTTAGAGTTTGGATCTCCAGAACTGGAAGGTAATACATGTGTGTAGTTTTAGGCCATTGAGTGTGTGACAATTTGTTACAGCAGCAACAGGAAACTACTCCTCCGGCCCAGGGGGTGTAGGTGCCTCCTCTGTTAGACTACCTACAACTTCCTTCTTGCCCTCCCCACTCCTAATCAGAGCCACAGCAGCTGATATGGTAAGAGAATTAATCTCAAAGATCACAGAGGAGTGAAAGAAAAAGATGAACCAAAACATCAAATGACCCATATATTACATTTCTTGCAAAAGGCTGGCTTTTCACTAGTGCACGCTTGCCAAGGGAGAATAGGCAGATGTAGGCAGGAATTAGAAGGGGCAGGAGCAGCTAAAGCCAACAGAACAATGAATTTGGTTTTTGCTGGAAACCCAAAGTTAGCCCCAGGGTTGACAGATATTCCTTGGAGTGACTGGGAACAGGCTGACTGTCAAATGCAAACTCTACAAGCTACATTTGGACTTTATAGCAGTAGTAGGTTATACAGCCTTGCCAGCAGGAAATAGGCAGCTTTTACAAATGATGCCACAAAAGGTAAACCATTATACTGTATATCTATAGTGGATACAAAGTTATATGTCAATTGTCTAAATAATAAATAAATATTTAGAGACTGACAAAGCAAGATGGAAAACACATAAAGCATTTCCCCAAAATTGAGCACAAAATGTTAACTATATCTTGATTAAAACTATGAAAAGAGGGCCTCCCTGGTGGCAAAGGGGTTAAAGACAGCACTACGAAGCTATAGCCATCCACTGAAGCACAAGTTCAATCCCCAGCCAGGGAGAAACCCACATGGCTCAGCAGAACTCTTCTGCCTCGCCCACTGCTCCCCTCAGCAGTGTATTTCAGTACATCTGCCTGTTCTGCTCCCCACTTTCTCTGGTGAATCCTCTCAGCCCACACACCTCTGGCCTGTACCCCATTTCTTGTATGCATAAATAATCTTAAAAAAAAAAAACTATGAAAAGAGGGCCTCCTTGGTGGCACAAGGGGTTAAGTCACAGCACTATGAAGCTATCGGCAGCCACTGCGGCATGAGTTCAATCCCCAGCCAGGGAGCTGACCCACATGTCACAGTAGACCTCTCTTGTCTTGTCTCACCAGCTACTCCCCTCAGCAGTGTATTTCAGTAGATCCACCTGTTCTGCTCCCTACTCTGTCTCTGGTGAATCCTCTCACCCCCCATACTTCTGGCCTACACCAGTTCTTGTATATGTAAATAAATAAATCTTTTTTAAAAATAGCAAAATGTTTATCATGGTCATGAGGAAATGATATAATTGCAATAGACTTTTTTTCCTCTACTGTCCAGCTTCTTGCTTACTTTGCAAGATGATAATATTGCTTTGATCATTTGGAAAAACTGACTGCCTTAGTGAATGGAAGTATGATCATATATTCACATGCAAATCCAGACAAAAGTGTACACTTGCTGCAGGGAATCACTGGGGAGGGCCCCAGAGGGATTTGTTTCATCTGGGGTAATGCTCACCCACGTCCCTCCTCTCATTATTCCACTTAGGACCCATATCCCAGAATCCAGATATCCCAGGAAAAAAAAGTGAATATTAAAATTACACATGTTGATTCTCAAGGACTTGCTTCTGAAACTTATATAATGCAATTGTTAGAATGCAAGTTTACTTCAAAAAAAATGAAGTGTTTTCAAGTGTTGGAAACATAAAATACAACTGTCTGGCACCCATGAAATCAACATTAATTGCAGAACATTCACTTGTTTTCTCAGACAACAAATTGTTCTATTTTCTATCCCAAAATAGAGAATTAAAACTAAGAAAATACCTGAGCACCTCCTGCTGGAGGTGCTCGTATCTGTAGTTCATACCTTAGCTAAGCCTCCTAATCACACACATTCTACATCCAGCCAGCCTTAATTTTTCCATTCTGCCCCTCTGGCGGGCTGGTGGTACAGGCCCCCCACCCCTGGCAGGCCCTGTCCCCACCTTGGGTGCTCCTCGGGCACGTGCTGCTTGGAGAACTTGGCAAGCTGCACCAGCTCGGGGATGACCTCCTTGACATCATAACTGTTGGTGCAGTTCACCAGGGTAGTGGCCACTGAGTACAGGATGGTCTTGTCAGCGGTCTGGGAGTACAGGGTAGAAAGGAGAGGTACCGAAAAGTGAGGAAAGGTGGAAATATTAGGACAAATCTCTGCTTCTAAAATAGTCCCATACATGGTAGGAAGTTGGTTTGGAGGAATGTGGCTGGTGGGACTCAGCTTGGAGGAGGACTTGGGCCCAGACAAAAAGGAACTGGCTCTGTTCACAAAGGTGGCAGCCCGGAGAGTAGGAATGGGGGTCCTCTTGGTGTCCCCCTTGCTTTGAGCCTCTTTCAAAAGTTCAGTCCAGGCCTCCCTGGTGGCACAGTGGGTTGAGCACAGCACTGCGAAGCTGTCCACAGCCTCTGCAGCGCGGGTTTGATTCCCAGCTGGCCAGGGAGATACCCACATGGCGCAGCAGACCTCTCCTGTCTCGCCCGCTGCTCCCCTCAGCAGTGTTTTCGGTTCATCTGCCTGTTCTGCTTCCCACTCTGTCTCTAGTGAATTCTCTTACTCCCCGTACCTCTGGACTGTACCCCAGTTCTTGTATGCATAAATAAATAAATCTTTAAAAAAATAAGTCCAGTCCAATTCACTTTCCCATCAGACTGGAGTGACCTGGGGTTGGGTCTGGCCTGGTGGAAACTCCTTCCTATAGTTCCTCCCTTTAGTGGTGGGGAAGAGCAGGAGGTTGAACAGGGGGCTGGCACAGCAGAGGAGGAAAGTCTGAGAGGAGGTCAGTTCGGGAGGGGTCCAGAAGAGGGAGGTAGTGCCTCTGGGTCCCTCAAGACCTCATTTCCTGAGGATCCCAGGAAAAATATCATCCTCCAGGTCCTCTCTGTGCCCAGAAGTTATAAGGAGCTAAGGGGAGTTCGGGAACCAGCACAAGGACACACAGGGCCAATTTCCCAGGCTCGGTGGAAGGCCAAATTCCAGTGGCCCTTTCTGCAGAGCAGAGGCGAGGCCCACACTTGCCTTAGCCAGCTCAAACATGGCCTGCAGGGCAGGGATGTCCTGAACAAAGTCGTCCTTCACGTCAGCATCCAGCGTGAGGTAGGCTAAGCCCTCCACTGCCCATCGCCGGGTACGGGTGTCAATAGACGCGTTGCACAGCCACCTGGACATGGGGAAGGAGAGGCGCGGGGGCCGCATCAGGCTCAGGTCAAGAGAGTGAAGCCAAGGGTTGCAATTGTATGAGGAACATAAAAATAAAATTGATTATTTAAAAAAAAAAAAAAAGAGTGAAGCCATTCCAGGGTAGGGGAGGTAGCAGGAGAGAAACCTTCCACCACCTTGCAGCCTTGAGGGTGCAGCCCAGAGGAGATGGAAGGCCTGCTGGGATATAGGACCTCTTACTTGCGACACTGTTGGCCAGCTTCTCTGTTGACCCTTCAGCAAACTGCCTGAGGCCGTAGTCTGTGCCACCCGCAGAGCCCAGCTTACAGAGTCCCTGTGGAAAGAGATGGGCACACTTGCAGGATCAGCCACAAGGCATGGCTCAAACAGGTCCTGGTGAGTGGAACACTTTGTTCCTTTTTCTTTTCCTGGAAAATCCTCTATGCATGCTACAAAACTCAGCTCAGGTGTCACCTCTTCCAAGATGCCTTCCCTGAGGCTTCCAGGTTAGGGTAGATGCCTACAGGGCAGGAGATTTGTGCCCTGCTCTTTCCCCCACCCTTCTGAACCCACAAATGTTTTTGCCTGCCATTCTGAAAAATCAGCACAAGATAACATTAATTATATCTGCAACTGCAAAAAAAAACAAAAAACAAAAAAAAAACTTGTTATAGCAAAAAATTGGTGGAGAAATCACAGCTTGTGGGTAACAAATTTGGATGTGCAGAATTTTACCCAAGAAAAACTGGACCCTTGTTAGGAAAAAAATATCTTTCATAAGAGAAAACTCACAATGACAGAAGGTAAAATTAGTTTCTAAAAGTTTGATATGAATAAAAAGCAGATCAGTGTCTCAGATCTTCACTGTAGCTACTTATAAGGAAAAGATCAATGAAAAATAATTCCTGTAAAATGAAAATGGGGAAAAAATGAGACAGATTTGACAGAGTCATACACAAATTGATTAACAAACTGGGGCTTCCCTAGTGGCTCAAGGGGTTAAGACGCAACCTATGAAGCTATCTGCAGCCACAGCAGCACGAGTTCGATCCCCGGTGAGGGAGATACCCACATCCTGTCTCACCCACTGCTCCCCTCAGCAGTGTTTTCAGTCAATCCACCTGTTCTGTTCCCCACTCTTGTCTCTGGTGAATCCTCTCACCTCCCACAACTATGGCTTGTACCCCAGTTGTTGTATGTATAAATAAATCTTTAAAAAAAAAAAAAAGAAACTGACTTTTTGAAGTTTTTTTTTTTTTTTAAAGATTTATTTATTTATTTATGCAAGCACTGGGTATAGTCAGAGGCGCGGGAGGGTGAGAGAATTCACCAGAGCCAGAGCGGGGAGCAGAGCAGGCAGAAGGACAGAAGTACACTGCTGAGGGAGCAGCGGGCAGCTTCGCAACCCAACGCTCAACTGCTGCGCCACTGGGGAGGCCCCGACTTTTTGAAGTTTTATCTGAAAACACTTGTTGGACAAAAATTTAATCAGTGTTAATGTCATTCAAGGTGAACGCCATTAGGACTAAACAGTAAGTCCATCATCCTGACTACGTTCTTGCAGCTCCCTGCTTATCACCCTCTCTGCAGGGTCTGTGGAAGGTTCTGGATGCCCCCAAGAGTGTGGTGTCCCCCTCCTTGCAGACTGTCCATCCTGGTGTCCCCAATCCCTGGCACCATTTCTAAGCCCCGGCCTACTCACCACCAGTGTGCGGATCTTGATCTTCTCATTTTTGGTGGTCTTGTAAATCTCTTTGAGCAGTGACACGCCATTGGTGATGATGAAGGTGGCACGGCTGAGCTTGGTGGAGGCGTGGATGAGGGCTTCCACGGCCACCAGCTGGTCTGCCTCCCGGTCGGAGCCACAGAGCGCTACCATCATCTCCATCACACCCTTCAGCCCCAGCAGCTGGTTGCCCAAGTCAAAGGGGCCCTGCAGGATCCCTGACACCGTCTGTATGGCAATCACATTCTTGTCCATGTCCTGGGGGTCAAACTTGCCTCTGAAACAGAGGGTAAGCATGATCGAGAGAATCAACCAGGCTGAAAGGGGGAAGAGTAAAAAGTGTGAGAATTGGGGGCCCCCTGGTGGCTCAAGGGGTTAAGAAATAGCCTATGAAACTATCCGCAGCCACTGCAGCATGAGTTTGAGTCCAGCCAGGAAGCAACCCACATGGTGCAGCAGACCTCTCCTGACTCTTCCACTGCTCCCCTCAGCAGTGTATTTCAGTCAGTCTGCCTGTTTCTGTCCCTGGTGAATCCTCTCACCCCTGCACCTCTGGCCTGTACCCTAGTTCTTGTAGGCATAAATAAATTTTTTTTTAAAAAGTGTGAGAATTGGAAGCAGACAGATTAGAATTTGTATCCTGGATGCATAGCCCATGTGCTGTGTCATCTTGGGCAATTCACTGAACCTTGGCTTCTTGATCTGAAAACCGAGAAACATATGACGACTTCTCAGAGTCACAGCGAGGATAAAGGATACATGATATAACAGATGTGCTGGGGTGATGTTCCCCAAGAAGCACAATCTGAGATAGGGTTGACAAGCAAGAA